GCCACTAAAGGTCAAGTTCTTTTGTAGTGAATCTTAGTTGGCAATGCTTAGGTGGAGGGATTAGTCCCATGTGGCTTGCCACGTCACTAAAAAATTGGGGTGTTAACTCTTGAGGGTATTTGTGGTCTCCTGGAATAACTGCGAGGTATTTTTGATCCCAAAATGAAATGGAGGGTATAAGTGGTCTATTTCGCATAGTTCAGGGGCAATTTTAACCCTTTTCCGTTATAATAATCACTGAACGGAATTACAGTGGAATACAAATACTACAAGAACAATTTATTGAGACCTAAAGGAACAAGAATAGGATAAGCATAAGGAGATGAGGAACAGAAACTTTGCCAAAGCATAATCACAATTCGCCTTTCTAATTACTAGTCCTTTTAAACTAGATGGCAACTCGGCCTGGATCGTTTGATATCAATCTTTGTGAAGATCTTCTGTCCTATATTTCATCCCAATAGTTGCTTGTAGGTATTGCCATTGGGCTTTAACTGATACATAACATTTTCCATCAAGATGATCTTGACTTCTAGTAAACTGTCTGTCTCAAGCTCCAAATTTCTTTTGTTTTTTGTTAATTCGGGGTATTAAAGAGTACTAAATAAATCAGACTACTCAAACTCGTCAGGAAAGGACAATGGAATTCTAGTCATATAATGTCTAGCTTGCAAAAAAATTACAAAAATAAAGAGCAACACAACCTACATAACAATCAGGTCCTTTAATCATTGTTATAAGGAACAGAAAAGAGACTTAACTTGCAAATGAACAAGTTACGTGATCTCCCCTTGTTGGAGAGTCGAGTCAATCATACGCACACCATTTTCTCCACAACGTTGTTGATCAAATATGCTGAGCTGAAGATGACCTGTCAACAGCAGAAGGAACTCATTATGATTCATGAATCAGATCAATGGTGTCCAAAAGGACAATATAACAAACCTAAGTTGGTTGGAGACTTCCTTGACTATGTTCTTAAAATTTTAAACTATATCATGAGACAATTTTGAA